GGGGGTATGTGTGTGTGTGTGGAGGGGGCCCACAAGCAGACCCCACCATACCACCCCCCCTGTCAAGGGGCGATATTACCTGTGCGGCCCTCGACTGCTCATGAAAACTTAAGTGGCTCTCCAGATGAATAATTGCCCACCCCTGCTCTAACCAGCTGTACTGTCCTCTAATATGCTCTTAGACATGTAGATAAAACTTTTTGGTTTCAACAAAAATAAACAGAACAGTTTTCTTAGAGGATCACACTGTTACTCGAAACATTAATTACTGAAATTCCATGGAAACAGACACAAGTATTTTGCATTTTGAGACAAGAAAAAGAGAACATACAGCAAAATGTAAGTTTTTAAGACCACTACATGCAGCACTAACAATGGCAAAAATCATTTCATGTGGAAGTGCTCATCAAAATGAATAGGTTTATGCTTATACTGAATGTCTGCTGCATTGAAGGCAATGAGGGGAAATTACCTCATAGCCTCCTACTTCACAATTTACTCCTTTAAATGTTGCATCTCTTATGTGATTAATTCATATGGTAGTTTTGCTATTACTAGAAAAGGAAAAGATTTCTCATTTCTATAAATAACCTTTGTGTTCAATGAATTTAATTACATTTAATTAACTAGATATAATTTAATTAATTGTATACCAGCCTTGGATATGCTGATACCTATAGCACTGGGATTAACAACTGCCTTTTTGCTTATTATTGTGTCAAGGTACACACATGGTCATGATTCAGAGCTTACTGGAGGAGGAGGGACTTCCAACATTGTAAAGGTGGTGCTTGTGTTTTTTTTGATTCACCAAAATACAGAGGAAACAAAATATTACCCTTTGAATTAACTTATTGACCTGCCTCTATTCCTGCTCCTCCCAAGAACATCAGGCTTTTTCCTCTTTCATTGCATTTCACATACTTGGTTTGGCATACCCTACAATTCTTTCCATGCATATTATTTTCTTTATAGTTTTCTGGATATCACTGTCCTTTCCCACTATTTTGGTCTAAGTCCTAATCCTTTTGTTTGAGTCTACCCATTCACCTTTTAAATATTTTTTAGAGCTTGTTCCATTTTCCCCACCACTGCATCCAGGCATACAAAAAGACCCTGTATCATAGAAAGCCTAACTGAAGACAATGAGAAAAACCTCCCTCAACAGACATGCCAGCCCTAATGCAACATTTGGCCAAGGACACTACAATATTTACTTGAATGTAAGACGACCCTGAATGTAAGATGATCCCCCAATAATTATATTCTATGCATGGAAAGATTAAAAATTTGTTATAATTTTCTATGTATAGAATCTAATTATTGGAAGGTTGACTTTAATTCATACCCCCAGCACAGCCACAGGGCAGGCAGTGAGTGGGCAGGTGGGGGGGTTAAGCAGCTTTCCACCTGCTGTTGCCTGCCCCTACCCCCTCTACCTTCCCCCACCCTTCCTCACCACAGCCTCAGGTTCCTCCTGGCCCCCTGCTTTCCCTCCTTCCCAGTCTCTCTGCTCCCCCTCCTTCCCCTTATCCATGCTTTGTACAGCCAGGCTCCATTCCTGATTTAGCCTGGGGCACTGAGCATGGCCCTAGCCCTGGCCCTGGCCAGGTCTTACAGCAGCTGTGCGGGCTGTGCATCACTGCTATGAGCTGGGCTGGGGCTGTATTCAGTGCTCCAGGCTACAGCATGGACAGAGCCTGACAGTGTAGAGCAAAGGTAAGTGGTGGGAAGTGAGGCAGACTCGGGAGTACGGACTGCATGGGGAGGTGGTGGTGGATAGCAGAACACAGAGGCAATGGCAGGGAAGGTAGGGGGAGGGGGTCAGGCAGCAGCTTTGGCCAGACCATGGGTAGGGGCTGGAGTCAGAGCTGCATCGTCCCCTCACCCCCCTCCCCCCAACATGATTTTAAGACTCGTGGCTTCCCTCCCTACATCAAACAGGGGAAATAAAGTCATCTTAGAATAAATTTGATATATTGGGGGGAGGAATTTAAAGAGATACAAGATATGCCATACCACACGGGATGGTCCAAAGGAGAAATGATACTTAGGCTGAAACCAGACCATTGGAGCAGTTACAATCTGCCTTTTTGTTGGGGGAAAAAAGGGAGAGGTTCATCTTTCCTGTGCTTTTTGCCATAGTCGTTGGGTCAGGCCTTCTTCTATTAATTCCTTCTCCTTTCCTTTGTTTTGCCAGCTCTTACTCCCTCCCCTCCCAATTTCTTCTCCTTCTTTGGCCCTCCAGTTTTTGTTTTATTCTTTCTCTTTCTTTGTCTCTTTTTCATTCAGAGCACATCATAGTTTCATAGTGCTCAGGGTTGGAAGGGACCTAAACAGGTCATCAGGTCCGAACCCCTGCCCTGGGCAGGAACGAGTGCGAGGTCATAACACCCCAGCCAAATATCTGTCCAGCCTCCTTTTGAAGACCCCCAAGGTAGGAGAGAGCACCACCTCCCTTGGGAGTCCATTCCAGAGCCTGGCAGCCCTAACTGTAAAGTAATGACTCCTGATGTGCAGCCTGAACCTTCTCTCTAACAAATTGTGGCCATTATTCCTAGTGACCCCGGGTGGTGCCTAGGGGAACAGAGCCTCCCCCAATTCCCGCTGGTCCCCCCTGGTGAGTTTATAAACGGCCACCAGATCCCCTCAGCCTTCTCTTGTGGAGGCTGGATAGATTCAGGCCCTTCAGCCTCTCATCGTAGGGCCTGACCTGCTGCCCCTTGACCATGTGAGTGGCCCTCCTCTGGACCCTCTCAATGCTAGCCACAACGCTCTTGAAGAGCGGCACTCAGAACTGGATGCAGTACTCCAACTGTGGCCTGACCAACGCGGCGTAGAGGGGAAGGATCACCTCCCTGGACCTGCTTGTGATGCATCTGTAGATGCACGACAAGGTGTGGCTAGCTTTACTGACCGCTTCCTCGCATTGGCGGCTCATGTTTATCCTGGAGTCAACAATGACTTCACGATAGCTTTCTGCCACCATGTTGACAAGAAGGGTGTTCCCCAGCCTATAGGTGTGTTGTTGGATCCTTCTCCCTAGATGCAGTACCTTGCACTTGTCTGCGCTGAATTCCATCCTATTCTCATCCGCTCACCTCCGCAACCTGTTTAGATCTAGCTGGATTCTGTCCCTCCCCGCCCCACATCTTGGTGTCATCAGTGAATCTGGACGACGTGATTTCACCACCCACATCCAGATTGCTGATAAAGATGTTGAACAGTACAGGCCCCAGGACAGAGCCCTAGGGGACTCCACTGCCCTTATCCCTCCATGTTGAAAATGACCTGTCCACCACCACTCTCTGGCTGTGACCATCTAGCCAATTTGCCACCCATCTGACTGTGTAGGTATCAATGCTGCAGTCACCTAGTTTTTTTGAGAGAATGTGGTGGGAAACAGTGTCAAAGGCCTTCTTAAAGTCCAGGAAGATGACATCCACCCCGACACCCTTGTCCAGGGACTTTGTGACCTGATCATAAAAGGAAACCAGGTTAGTCAGGCAGGATCTGCTTTCAATGAACCTATGTTGGTTGCCCCTGAGCATTACCTCCCCTGCTGGGCCCTTGCAGATGTGCTCCTGGATAATTTTATCAAAGGTCTTTCCAAGGACCGAGGTGAGACCAACTGGCCTATAGTTGCCTGGGTCCTCCTTTCTCCCCTTCTTGTAAATGGGGATCACATTGGCCCTTTTCCAATTCTCTGGTACCTGGCTAGAGCCCCACAAGTGCTCATACAGCTGTGCCAGGGGCTCTGCTATGACCCCTGCCCGGGGCTCTGCTATGACCCCTGCCAATTCCCTCAGCATCCTCGGGTGAAGAGCATCTGGACCTACTGTAAATCCATCCCCCCTGACAATTCCCTAACTAGGTCATTCCTGACCCTAGGCATAATGGTGCCTTCCCTGGGCCCGTCTGTAATCTTAGTGGGGAACTGTCCCGGTCCCTGTTCAGGAATATGGAGGCAAAGAATTTGTTAAAGAGGTCAGCTTTTTCGTTAGCTGCAATCACCATATTACCAAGCCTGTCCTGTAGGGGCCCCATGTTCCCCAGTGCCACCTTCTTACTCCCTGTGTATTTGAAAAAGGACTTTTCGTTATCCCTAATTCTGGTCGCTAGCCCTAGCTCCATCTCTGCCTTGGCCTTCCTAACAGCCTCCCTGCAGTCCCGAGCAACGGAGGTGTAATCCTCCTTCCACTGTTTGCACGCCTCCTTTTTTTCCCCTCAGGGGATGCTTTTGCTGAGCCATAGGGGCTTTTTAGCACTCCTGCCCCCCTTGGTGCGCATTGGGACTGACTCCCTTTGAGCTTGGAGGATCGTCTCCTTGAGGAACAACCACCCGTCTTGAACTCCCATCTCATTGAAGCTCTGAGACCCCAATGACTCTCCTACTAATCTTCTTAGCTCATTGAAGTCAGCCCTCCTTAAGTCGAGGACTTTTGCCTTACTGCTTGCTTTGACCACCCAGAGCTGGATAGTAAATTCCAGCAGGCGATGATCACTGTCGCCCAGTTGGTCGAGTATCTGCAGACCCTTCACCAGATTGTCACCTGTGGCAAGGACCAAGTCTAGCAAGGCATTTCCCCCGGTGGGACTATGCACCTCGTGGGTTAGGTGGAGGTCCTGTATCCTGGCTAGGAACCTACTTGAGCGGTTGGACCTGGCTGACTGCTCCTCCCAGCAGATATCTGGGTAGTTTAGGTCACCCATGAATAACCACATCCCTTGACTTTACAGCCTCCGTGAGCTGACCTGAGAATTCCAGGTCCAGCTCGTCCCCATGGTGAGGCGGTCTGTAGTAGATGCCCACTATCAAGTCCTTTTCCCCATGACCCCCTTGCATTCTTACCCAGAGCGCCTCACTTAGCCCTTCTTCTGAACCCATTCTGATCATTGAGGATGTGTATTGCTCTTTGACGTAGAGTGCTACACCCCCCTCTTTTTTTCCCCTGCTCTGTCCCATCTGTACAGCCTGTGACCCTAGATGTCCACTGTCCAGTTGTGAGTAGAATCCCACCAGGTTTCCGTGAGCCCCACTAGGTCTGGGTTTTTGCTAGCTAGTAAAAACCAACAACAACAAAAAATTGTCCAGAAGTGAAGAATCACAACAGCCCCAGCAACATGAGAAAATGACTGTAATTAAATAAGAGTTGAGCAAATCTCATGAGTTGAATGAAGATGTTGATTCTAGCTCTGTGGAAGAGGTGCTGTTCTGCAAACACAGATTTGATCTCTTTTACAGCAGTGGTGCAAACATGCCATGATGATATGCTACCTGTACCAGCTAGCCTTCAGCTGTTACTAAAATTATAGAGAAATATGCATATCTGAAGTGGTCAACTAGTAAAAGACAATATTTACCAAGTGAGACTACAACATCATAAATAATTCTTTTAACACCAGTCACTGTCATTGTGTAAACACCTATTCAATGACTATTCAAACTGGTTAGCTTGCACACAAGGCTCAGATAAAATTTGAATGTAGGATGCACATTTCAAGGATATATGATTAGGACCCAAGTTAAACAGTGAGAATAACAAACTTGGAAAAAGGACAAGGGTGCAGGGCTTCTATTTTTTCAGGCAATGCCTCTGATACTGAAAGTTTCAATTGAGAAGCTATTCGACCCTTATTAATACAGTTAGCTTTAAGTCCTCTTACCATGATTTACATTTTTGCCTCTATCAGCACAGAATAATATGGTAAATCAGATTTATTGCAATGCCACTACTACTACATTAAAGACATTGACTTTGGAACAGAAACCGGAATAAAGAAGAACCTGTTCAACCCAATCCAGGAAAGGTTGAAGTGAGAACAATCAGGGGGACTGTGAGAACTGCTGAGTGGGAAGTGTGTTAGCAGCACCAGCAACTGTTCCTCAGATGAAGACATCTGTATATTGAAAAAAAAAAAATCAAGAGAAGGGGTAGTTCTGGGGTTATACTTAGTAATTACTGAATACAAGTAGCAAGTCACCAGAAGCTTCCTTATTCTCCACCTAGCAAGATAGTGTTGTTTATTTTTCTCCAATCAGGAATTAATGCACCAGTCTCTTCTGGACTGGATCTTTGAAATTCAGATTTTTAAAAAAGTTCATGAGACGCTTCAGCTGTTGTCCCTCTTCTAAAAGATACCAGCAGAAAAATTTACTGAACTGAAGCCTGCAATTTAACAATATAAGCAGCCACCCACTCCAAACCCCATTTGCTTCATTAAAACCTCTGCACTAAACTACAAAGCCATTAGAAGAATGGGATATTGTAGTCTTATAGACTACTAAACTGTAGCTGCAGGGCTTAGATATCTAATTGCTGTGACTGAGTCCAGGTACAGCCTCAAGGGATCTGCAGGTGAGTCTTCCTAAAGTCAAGTTCAAGATTCTAGAAAACCTAGTCAAAGAACATCAGGAAGAATGTAAATTACACCAAGAGTGCCCAACCTTCAGTCTGTAGGCCAAATCTGGCCTGTGGAGCCAAGGCATATGGCTTGTGGGGCTCCCTATGGGTCAGAAAATTTGGCAGTGGGCTACCAGCAACAATTAATACTACTACTACTCTCCTCCCTCTGCATGTCGCCAGATTGGGACCAGGCCACGCCTCCTTCCCTCTCTGTAGCTGGGTTGGGGCTGGGCCACGTCCCCAGCTTCCCACATGGCTTGATCCGGGTTGGGTCATGCCTCCTTTACCCCCATGGGACTGGGTCAGGACCACTGTCCAGATCCAGCCCATAGAGAAACTGAACACTGCCCATCCGGCCCACTGGCAAAAAGGTTGAGCACAACTGAATTGTGTCGTCTTAAGGACACAATGTAAGATACCACTGGGCATGTCTACACGTGTATTTACACGCACCTAAACTTAATGCATCTTTGCTTCAGGTGCATTAAGGCAATTTAGGCGCGTGTATACATGTGGATGTGCTAATGTGAGTTAAGGCGTGTTAAATGTAGGTGTGAATAGCTAAATTGCATTAGCACACATGCAGATGCGCTAATATGCATTAACATGGTGTCTATCCATTAACGAACACCATGTTGATGTGCATTAGCACATCTACACATGTGCTAATGTGACTTAGCTATTAGTGCCAAAAATTGATACCTGCTTTACGTAGGTATCAGATTTAGGCTCACATAGCCTTAAATAGCTATCTTTAAGGTGCATTAAGGGCACGCACATGTAGCCACACGCCCTTAAGGCACCTTAATGATGGCAATTTTAGGCTAAGCCCACTTAAAAGAGGCACATGTAGACGTGCCCACTGTTTACCAAAGCATTCTCCAAATACACAAAGCAAAAGAAAAGAAAAATTGAGCAATTTTCACAAGGATAAAAGCTCTCAACCAAATCAAAGAGCTAGATATGAAACACACATCCTCTGCTGATGAAGCTTATTGCTTTTCTGCTTTTATAGCCAACACCCAGATATAATATGCCATTAACCAGTTCAAGAATTTGTATAGAAAATACTCAGCAGTGTGGCTAACTAAATATATTTGCCAGAAACAAAAATAGTTATTAGAAATAAATTCTCTAACTGGATAAGAAGTTTAAATAGGTACGGAATAACTCGGATCTACTTCAAATGCTAGAATGCAGAGTTCAAAGGACTGATGAGCACAAACATTAAGTTACAAGACAGAAATATCAACCTGATTATGACTGCATTAGTTAACAACTTTAAGAAATTAAATTAAAATTAGTTGCTAGGATATCAATTTTAACATATCTGAAGTGGTCAACTAGTAAAAGACAATATTTACCAAGCAAGACTACAACATCATAAATAATGATTTACCATATTAAAATTGATGTCCTAGCAACTAGTTATCATACAAGCTAGCAAGTGGCTGTTTACATCTGCTGAAGACAAGACATGAATAAAGTTTATTACATAACAATGGTCTATACTATTGGAAGCCTCACTATTATTAGTAGCATTTATTCTTCAAACTCTTAGTCTTCCTATAACAGTATAATTTCCAATAGATATTTTTATCTCTTATTAAATTACAGAGATCTGTATTAACATATTGTCTGACACTGGAAGTCTATAGTAGACTTCCAGCTTTACCCATGGTTTGAGGGGTGGTGCATCAAACCCACCCTTTAGTAAACCCTGGACTCATCCATGGATACATTGAAGGTTTTTCAAAGACTCAAGCAGGATAGATTAGAATCATACTTAGACCTTGTACAGACACCCAGTTTCTTCTGGGAGAAAGCACATGTGTACAGAGATTCAGGCCTTTTCTCACAGAATAAATATGGCCACCCTAGGAAAAAAAATTGGGGAAACAAGCAGGGTTAAATCACTCCTAGGATAATTTCTCCTAGGAGAGCAAATATCTGTACATGACAAAGGTCACCTAACTGCTACTAAGAGGCCCAGCAGGTGG